TCCCATAGAATGCTGCAATTTGCATGGATACAAGGGCTACCTGAACAAGTTAATGGAAGACATCTGATAAATACTATTAAATACAAAGATGGCATCTCTGTGAGCTGTGAGCTGAAACTTCTTGGAGACTGTGAGAATAATCTGGGGCATGATCTGCACATGCTTACTCTTACTCTATAAACTTGCATTTCTCCCAGGACATCTGCAGATTCTGCCCACAGTTGGAGATTGAATTTTGGTATAAATGGCCTTTAGTTTATTTAAGATGACTATTTTCTCTGAGTTGTTCTCTGTATTTTTCTATCACATGAGGATTCACTACTTTTCATTCCAAAGAACACCCAAAGAGTATTTGTCTCTAGTTGAGTAGTTGGAAACTGAACTGACCAAGGCACAGGCTTAAGACTTTGGTTCCTGTTTCAAAGAGGTTTGGGGTTTTGGTTTTTATTTTTAATATCCAGTGATGGTCTAATGCCCATTGCATATTCTTCTCAGGCTGCTGAAGCTAGAGCCTCAATTTTGTCTCTTATTGGAATAATACCCTTATCCACATTCATTGTTCCAGCTCCCAGTGTCTCTCTGTTTTTCAGTGCTACTGTACTAATGTACTACACCGTGCAGTATCTTGTGAAACTAAGCCTTCTAAGCTAATTAACAGTGTCTGTTTCCAGGATGCGGAGGAACATTATACGGCATCACTGGCTCTTTTGCTAGTCCCAGCTACCCAGCAACTTACCACAACAACACTGATTGTGAGTGGGCCATTACTGCACCCAAGGGACGAATTGTCACAGTGAACTTTGATTTCATCAGCATCGATGACCCAGGGGATTGCAGTAGCAACTATCTGATCCTTTACAATGGGCCAGATGCCAGCTATCCCCCAGCCGGGCCGTACTGTGGGATGGTATGTATTGCCTACTGTCTTTGATCCTGTAAGTGGTTAAAATGAATCTTTACTATTTCATATTCAAGACTGTTTCCCCAATTCTGGCATGAATTCCACATAGATGAGTGGAAGTGAAGGCATGAGGGGTGTGTGGCACCTTAGGAGCCTTCCAATGCAGACCTTACAGTGACATCTAGTGGGAGGTATTAAGATATATTGCTTTGTATTTGTGATTTAAATATTTGTAATACCCTGAGGGAGAAATGCAACAGCAGTATCTAGCACAGACCTGAGGTCACTTCCAACCTATGATCCAATTTGTGCCTCAGTTTTAACTCTCCGACTGGCTTTTCCAAAGGATCTTGATGTTCTATAAAGCTCATTTTTCTTGTCTTTAATTTTAGGATACAAACATCGCTCCATTTACTGCTACATCTCATCAAGTCTATATAAAATTTCATGCTGAATATGTGACTTTACCATCAGGATTCCAGTTAAGCTGGACGAGCTAGAACACTGTTTATGAGAAATATATCACTGTCCCTTGCTATACTGAAGAGACATTAGATCATGAAGTAAGTTTGAAATCCGGTTATAATTGCAGCTGAAGTAAGGCCTTTTAAAAATTACTGTAAGTGTAACTGTTATGAATTTAGATTTCTGTCAAAAAATGTGATCTCTCACTGTACTGAAAATAAACTATTATCTACCCAACTGGGAAAATGAAGTTTTTTGCTAGTTTTTGAAACATATTTTTTATATTCTTCTACATAATTTTGAAGTTTTACATTTAATGCTATAAAAAGTGAATTAGCCAGGATAAAACTTAAACACAAAATATTCAACATGAAGTTGATAAGAGGATCTAAGATATGAAGTTGTCTTTAATTAGTTCTATAGAATTATGTGGGTTTGTCCCCAGAGCCTTTGAAAATGTTAGCTAAAGTTTTATTCAAATTAGAATAAAATCAGAAATTGCTAAAAAATGGCCCTTGTCCTACAACCACTTACACAGATAACTTTGCCAAAGAACTTTCTGTAATACCACGTGTTAGGTATAAGAACCCAGCTGAATAAGTACTCAAGCATTTACTGAAGTTTAACACAGTAAGGACATGCTGTGTTACTACATCTTAACCACATTAAGAAGTAGTGTCAGGACCAGAGACTGATGTTCAGTATACACAAATAGCTGTGATTATATTTGTTGAGTTATATCTTCAAGCTTCAAAATCTATTTTACAAGGGAGTATAAAAAATTTGTGACACTTTTAGTAGCTCTCATAGAATCATAGAATGGTTTGGGTTGGAAGAGACCTTAAAGATCGTCTAGTTCCAACCCCCCTGCCATGGGCAGGGACACCTTCCACAAGACCAGGTTGCTCAAAACCCGTCCAACCTGGCCTTGAACACTTCCAGGGATGGGGCACCCACAACCTCTCTGGGCAACCTGTTCCAGTGCCTCACCCCCTCACAGTGAAGAGCTTCATCCTTATATTTGATCTAAATCTACCCTCTTTCAGTTTAAAGCCATTACCCCCTTGTCCTATCACTACATGCCCTTGTAAAAAGTCCCTCTATGGCTTTCTTGTAGGCCCCCTTTAGGTACTGGAAGGCCGAATAAGGTCTCCCCGGAGCCTTCTCTTCTCCAGGCTGAACAAACCCAACTCTCTCAGCCTGTCTTCATAGGAGAGGTGTTCCACCCTCTGATCATCTTCATGGCCCTCCTCTGGACTCGTTCCAACAGGTCCATGTCTTTCTTATGTTGGGGGCCCCAGAGCTGCACCTTTCTAGTCAACTTGTAGGCAACTTCCTAGACATTTATAAAACAGATATAACTTCAGAATAGGGCAGACATAAAAATATCAGTTGACCTTTGACTAGAATTAGTTTTTCCCTTCCCCAGGCTAACACACATCATACATAAAAAATGTTGTTGGCAGGGTATATAGAGGACACTGATTCCCACCATGAACCATTTTTTGTCACAACCCAGAATGAATGACCAATTAATTTCCTGAATGTCACCTGCGATGGACAGGCAAGAGGAATTCACACCACAGCAAAGGAACGCAGGCCTCATTAGAACTCTCACTTCATTATGAAGAGTTACTCGCAGTGAAAGTAACTCCTTTATGTGATTGTTGCAATAATTAATTATGAAATCACATTAAAGTGTTAATGGCAGTTCTAACAAAATCTAGGAACACTTTGAAGATTTCCCAGCGAATGCTGAAAAAGCCATTGTTCCACAAACATACAAAACTTTACAGCGACTGAGAAGCCATCCTGGTTAAAATAAAATTTAAAAAACACAAAACAGACAAAAAGGGGAAAAAGGTAGAAGGCAAGCTATAAAATACAACTCAAAATCATCTGGTAATAAGTTAGAAAAAGAGAAACCTGTGAAGTCTCACTGGCCAACAGAATTAGATATAAGCCAGCATTTTAGAATTGTCCAAGGACCAAGAAAAACCTCGCCTAGGTACAGGTGATACTCCTGCTAACGTGCAACACAGAAAAAGGAGAAATATCTGCATTTGGATGAAACTAGGAGATATCTATGTCCTACTGAGCTGCTGGAGGTACAGAAAGTTCCTCTGATAAGGGAAGCTATAAAAGACCATACAGTCAAATTAAACATTTTCAGATTAGTGGCCCAGAAAACTTTTGCTGGGAATCCACATCAAACTGATTTCATATTTGGAATCAGGAGACAATGCAATCGTTGTCCATAAAGTTTATTAGAAACCCCATAAAGGGGATAGCAAGGAGCAAAGAAAACAAACGTTTGAACTGCCTGGAGCTAAAGCTACAAAATAAGCTCTAAAGATAGCAGTGTGTAAGACTGTGAAAGTACAATCAAGCATGGCTTCAGCTGTTTGCCTACAGAGATGAGGAGGACTTAATTTCTTCCTTGTGGACGGCAGCATCCCGGGGCTTTATGAACATCCATTGTGGTTTTGACCTTCCTATCAATCACTGTGGATTTGGTGCAGTTGGCACAGGGCAGAGAATCCCCTCAACATCTGGCTGCTGTCTCTTGCTGCTAGGTGGCTGGTCATGGAAGCATCAGATTTTAGGTGAGAATCAACTTGGCAAGAACATTGTCATTTTCTGCATTTCACCAGCCTGGAGTACAGCTCAGCTGGAAGCCACAGGTGAAAGGGAAGGGCACATCTCCCCCAAACAGCTCCCTGCCACTGCAGGTAGTGCTCTGCGGTACATTCATTTCTGTTGTTAAAAGTGGATCACACCCTGACAGACAATGAGTTCTCAGGTTAAACCTTGGCCTTGTCAGGAGTATGACAGAGCATAAACTGACAAACAACAGAAACCTGTACATGGTTTTAATGAATGAAGTTCACTAGTAGCTTTTTGAGACTGGTATGAGCCACACGTCATACAGTTTTTGGACACGAAGTTGAGTTCCCCAAGGACACCCCTGTCCCTCCTGCTCGCTCCGCTGAGCCTGGCCTCCTGTTGACTTAGTGAATAGTATGTAGATGCGATCTGCCAACCTGTGATGTGCATGAGGCCATTCTGGTTAACACGACCTTTGGCCTTAAAGCTCTAGAGGGGAACTGCAGTTAAATGGATGAGTTTGCTGAAATCTGCTCTTCAAAAAGATTGATCTTACTATGAGAAAACACGTTTCACTTTAAAACATTAAATGTGTTCAGACATTTTTTGATACGATATATACTTGCTCTTGGCATGACGTTCTGCCACGACGTCAAACAAATTTTATGGAAGCATTGAACTTCTGCAGGAGAAAAGACTAAAGAGCACTGTGAATGGGAGGAAGAGAGATTTGCAAGATTTTTTTTTTTTTAATCTAACAATAAATAATGCTTGGTGCATCTTTAAATGTTACAAATACTCCATACCTGTGCATAATTTTTATTTACAAATGAGTAAAATGCATGAGGTTCTTTAGAAAAAAATGAAAGTCCAGCAGAGAATTTGTGTTCATGAAGACTGCTGAATGAAGCTGCTGGTACAAGGTTCAATTGATCTAGTCCAACCGACTCTTGCCAAAAATAGTCAAAGTCTAAAATTAGAGTAAATTATCAAACCCATTCTTTAAAAAAACAGGAACAAAGTAACCCACTGCTGTCCTCTAACATTTTATATGAGGAACCACAACAGAAATACCACTGCAGAAGTATTAAAGTGGAGGTCCTTAGAGGAAAGAGCTGGTGCTAAGCCATGTTTCTGTCTTGGAAGGTAAGGAGTCATTTAAAACACTTGCTTTAAAATGAATGCACAGCAAAAGCAAACAGGAACAACTAAACAGATAATTTAAAAATAATTATTCCATGAAACTTCTATGTGTTTTTTGCAGTGTAGAATTCAAAAGACAAAATCTGTGTTTAATAAGATTTATGGCTTCATCTCACAATACTGCCATGAATATCTTTGCTTTTACATCTGTGCACATTGCTGTCTATTTTATAGATAACATCGTAGTTGTGAATGCTGCATGTCCATATTATAATACCTGCATGACTACAAACAACCTCCCCCCGTCAATGACAAAGCACGGATAATGAATATGCATGTTTTCACGTCCTAGAGCCTGCACATTTTTAAATTATGTGTAAATCTTCTTCTGCATGTTACTATACATACTTATTCTTATACAAAGGTATGTTTTATGAAACAGTTACATATGAATGGTAAGCACTCCAAAGACTAGGATTTGAAGAATAAGCACTAAAAGGTCCGTAACAAGATTTTTTAATTGCCTTTCCCATGTGGCAAGGCTATTCTTTATAAACAATAAATGAGAAGTAATACCAGAATGAGATCATTGGGGCTATGGTTATTTGAAGCAAAGGAGAGAGAAGATATACAGCTAAAATACTAGAAATTGTGCTGCTGGTCAGTTTAAAACATTAGCTAATTTTAGTTAAATTTACAAAGCAGTTTTGGCTGAAAAACATTTTTCACTCGGTTCATAAAGCAAAGGAGGAGGTGTCTCGGTTTCCCACAGTAACTCAATATCTGTGTCCTAGGCACCAGAATTAACATATTTAGTGTAATTATATTTTGTCAGCTGCCAAACTAAAACCACTGCATTACTCTGCAGTCCTGATTAAAATGAAATGTAACAAAAATTCATAGCATTGACTACTGTTCATAATAACAACAGCAACAATACAGGATTACTAACAAATAAATGTTTAAAATGTTTATTATCTGATAATAAAAATAGAAGCCAAATTTTATAGAAGTTTGCTTTTATAAGGCAAAGATCAGCAAAATAAATATTGTGTGGCAGTTATCACACATAATTACTGTAATTTTGATGGATCCATTTTTAGTAGCAGCGCCTAATGGTACATAAGTGTTTTTGCAGGTGCATGTTGCTGTTGTACCGTTTTGATGATATGCTAACTCTACATTAATGGTGACCGTTATGATAGTTTTTCTCGGAGGGGAAAAAAAAAAGGATAAAAATAGATTAATAATGTAAAACCTCATTTCCTTGGTCAGAAGAACTACCTAGGACAGCCAGAGCAAGGGCAGCGTCAGAGCCACTTGTCCCCTCGCTGCTCCCCAGCACAGTGAGAAGAGCCAGTGGAAGGGCACGTCCAGTGCTCGCTGCCTGGCCGGAGCAGGCTGGAGGGAACCAGTGCAGGGAGCAACTTCTCCCTCATCTTACCACCACATGGCAGCTGCAGCTCTGCCATACGATCCTGGCCATATGTCTACCTCATAGTCTCCTTCTTTAGCCTGCTGTCCTAAGGACAGAAGGCACATGCCAGCCTCTGCAAAGAATTCAGGCATTTGCTCTACAAACATTTAAGCCAAGTGACAAATTTAGAACAAATCTGACAGATATCAAAGATATTTTATAGTTGTTTCATAAGCAAAAAATCCATAGCTGGCTAGTACAGCGAGACCTAAATTGGAAACGCCTGTACTGTGAGCTCGACTGCTGTACATGTGGCGAGGGCTCCACCGGCCAGTCCCCAGACACACGTTGACCAGCCTCTAGCTGGGGGTGTAGAGGGAGCTAAGGATATTTGGGGTCAAAGGGGTTACGGAAGAACTGGATGTACTAGGAGGAGGCGGTACGGGATAAGAGAGGGGAGGTGGGGGGACTGCAGCGGCTTAGGCCCCCTGCAGGAAGCTACTCTTCACGAGTATGACTGCTGATGGAACAACCTGAAAATTAAGTTTTCAAGATCGGGGAATGACCTGACCCTTGGACAATGTGGCATGTGTACTTACTTTCCCACTCCTCATTGCATTGATATTTAGTGCTCCATGAGGAGCTGAGAAGTTTAAAAGGAAGGCTTGACAGCAACTCCTCTTTGCCAAATCCAGTGCAGACCCGAGAAGGGTATTGATTAGTGCATTTACTCAGATGAAAGGTTTGCTAAAACAGGAACCAATGTAGATGGCATAGAAGGTGCGAGTGATAGATGAACTATTTATACAAGAGGAAAATGAAATTAGGTGAATGGTAAAAAATAAACCTGACAAAAGGGAGTAATGGCAATATGTTTATTAAGTGGGGAGTAATTAAGTACTTCTATGGTAGGGGTCAAATGTGGACATCCAGGCCATGTGCAATGTAATAGGCTATTGTTTTGATCACTGCATAAATGGAGCAGTGACAAGCCAGGTGAGCTCCTCATTAGTCACGAAGACACCGTTTCGTGAGTGTCTTGTCACAGTCATGTGTGCTTTATCTGTTTGTTGGAATAAGCAAGTTAGGACCATATTTTATAATAAATCTGCCTAAGCCTTTGCTACTAAATGAAACCTGCAGTCATTCTCCATGAAACAAGAACAGTAGACATGCTCGCACGTAGGTCTTTGGGACAACTGACTGGTGGCAATCTGGGCATTTTCTTAGACAGGAAAGGGATCCAGCGTCATGTTCCGGCAGACAAAAAAGGAACTGCACATTGTTGTCTTGTACATCTGAGTGACTGTGTGTTCTGCTGAGCAATCCAGATAAAACAACGTTCTTCCAGTTGTGTTTTGTAAGAAAGACCCAGAAGCAGCCTGTAACTTCAGAAAAGGACTCAAGGACGCTATTTAGGGATAAACATGCTGCAATTCTGCAACCCAGAACTGAATCCTTACATTCTTAAAAAAGGAAAAGCTGAAGTTGCACCTCCAGCAGCGTTTCTCATTTGCTGGTTTAGGCGCCTTCCCATTCATCATCTTGGTTTCTGTGGATATTAGTTTTAGGCTTCTAAGCAACACCACATAGTGCATAAGGAGCACACGTGCAAAATTCAAGGCTGTGGCTCTCAACGGGTGGCCTGGCCTTCAGTCATTTTCTAGCGAACAATTGCGCTGAGCTTCCGTATCTGTTGAATGACAGTAAGTAGGAGCTTCTTAACTCCTACCAAAGATGTTATATGCATAAATACATTCTAAGCAGTAAGGCTGTAACTGCAGCATCATAGCGACAAGGTCAATTAAAAGTGCTCAGAACCTGGGCCCAGCCTTGTGACTAGTTTTGCAACTAGAGCCGACTAGAAAATCCACAAGGACACCTGAAGAAATGGAAAGCGCTGATTCAATGAACCCCCATTTTTTTGCAATGACATCTTTTGCCTTAGGTAGCCTTTGCCAAGCTTCACGAGTGCTCTGAAACCCTACTTGGTCAGTTCCTAAGGAGCCTGAGCTTTCCAGCTCCATGGCTCTGCAGCTTCTCCTTTCTCCTGCTGACCTGCTGGGAGTTGACCAACCGCCCCGAGCAGACCCCTGCCAGGGCAGCAGGAGCCACGGCTGCCAGGCACACTGTGCGGGACAGGGCACCCGAAGGCACTTTTCTCCTCTGTGCAAAACAGTGCCACATCCACCACAGCCCATCTTCTCGGGTTTTTGCTTGTGAAGCGCTTTCCAAGTGCCGAAGAAAGGGGAACGGGTGTTAACACCACATTTCGAACAGACGGCTGCGTAGGCCCGCGAGGCTCGTCGCAGGGAAGGACAGATGGGCCTCAGGCACCGCGGTAACCCAAGCTCTCCCGCCTGCCCCGAGGTAGGAGCACCCAAGCGAGCCCGCTGAGGAACAGGCCGCCGCCCCAGCGGCGGCACTGACGAAGCCGAGTTTCCTCTCCGAAGCCGCCAGCTCCTGCAACCGAGCCCGTCACCGGCGCCTGACAGGACGGCGGGCATCACGGGGCTGCACTCCTCTACCGGGCAGGCTGCTCCGCGACCCCGCCGACGGCACACGGCTGCCGACGGCACACGGCTGCCGACGGTCACCCCCGTAGCGGGACGCCGCTCCAGGCCGCACCGACCCCGCCACCCCAGGCGGCCCTCCTCCGCCGCCGCGCATGCGCCAAAGCCGCACTCGCGCAGGCGGAACCCTGCCGTCTTGCGGCCCAAAACCCGTTATCACCTACGGGGCGCGTTTATTGGCCAGCGAACCTTCCTCCCGCGCCTGAGGCCAATGGCCAGCGGGCTTGCGCCGAGGAGGCGCGCTGACTGGCTCGACGCCTTCCCAGCCGTGGGCGGAACCGCTCGGGCGGGCGGCCGGCCTTGGAAGGCGCGGGGAGCGCCTCCGCTTCCCGGAGGCAGGCCGCGGCGCGCCTGCGCGCGAGGGCGGGG